GTGGCTATATATACCAAATTAATTTCTAGATGTCATCCTCAGGAGGAATATAACAGTAATGATAAAAAGCTTTACAGCATTGAAGACAGTTAGACAGAAATAAGATGTTTTGAGAAGAAAATAGAAGAAAAAAAAAAGTAGACTGGAAGAAAATTGCTGATGGAGCTTGTAAATAGCTGCAAACACAACAGGCATATAAAAGGTACAAAGGAAATAAACCACATGATTTTGTTTCTTCGCCCCTTGATGACAGAGGAAATGTTTACTATGCAGAAAAATTAAAAATGAAGAAGTACTTTTTCATATTTCAAATAATTAAGCAATTTAAATGGCAAGGGGTCCTATTTTCTTTTATGATATTTTTCCCCCCCTAGCATTCTGCAGCCTTATTCCAAAGAGGAATTAAACCACAATTAGGCTAAGTGCTCTACTGAACTATATTAGCTCCCAACCTAATGCAAGGTATCATTCGACTGTGGGAACAACTAAGCAAAGGCCTCAATAAGCTCTCTGAAACTGAAGTCTTGCTTTCCAGTGTGTCCAGACTCCTTGCATTCACATTGGGAAAATGACGAACTGAACAGCAGGGCATCTTAGAGTAAGGATAAGATACTGATTCAAACAAACCCTGAGAGCAGGAAAACGTTTTTTCTCTTTTCTTTACCAGTGTGAATATTCCGTGCATATTTGAAGATAGCCCTGTGGTGAGCAGCAGGCTGGGCCAAATGACCTCCAGGGCTTGCTTCCAAACTACATTAACCTATGCACATTGAGGTGGGCAGCACCCTACAGAGAGAAGGAAAGAACTGAGAAGAGCATGTTAAAAAAAAAAAAAGGTAGAAAAAGCATTTTAACAAGGGAAGCAAAGCTGAAATGTCACTGCTGGCACACTGTAACCACAGTATTGCGAGCCTGTTGTTCCTGCTAGGAGAGGAATGCTTTTCTACTGTGCTACAGGACATCTCAAACCAAATGAGATCTGCAATTTGGCTGTAGGAACAACTACAGTTGAGGATTATTCCTGGGGAACAGTAGACGCTGCTGTACATCCTCTGGAGTGCAACTCCACATAATGGTCTGGATGGGATGTTCAGTCTGGGCGTAGCTTATTACAACGACAGAAACAAAAAGCAAAGGATTCAGCTCAGGCAAATGACTCAGACTTCAGTGCCAGCATGTACAGAAATGCTCCTTTCCTTTTTATAGAAACAAATCCGGAATATACTTGTTCTCTGGCCTCTTCGCATATTCTAGAACACAGTTTCCCATGAAATAGAGAGGAAAAATATTCCAGAGAAATTCCCTAAGAAAGTATTTCATCATGGGCAATTCCTTTTGTATTTGTCGCTTTAAACATCAAGCACCCCAGCAGCAGGGGGCTTTGAAAGAAGCACAGACATACATAATTTAATGGACAGATGTAAATGCATGGGAGAAAATCTCAGAGGACATAATCTAAAAGACCACAGGTTAGTGCAGTTGTTGCCACGTTGAGATAAGACTGAAATACCTTACAGAGAGAATTGAAGAAAAGACATTTATCTCTATCTTGGTTTTGCTTCTCAATCAGATTGGAGCCTGAGATAGATACAGCCATAACTCTTGCTCTGACCAACTTTAGCACTTGAAAACTTGAATACTGTTTTTTGAAATTGTTTTTACTGTCTATAGCTACGGTATAGTGGAACCCGTACGTTGCTTGTCTAAATAGAAACTGTTTGCAAAAGGTGTTTCCATTGAGATCACTGGGCTATATTTAATGCTGATAATAACATTCAAAGGCCTGTAATGTTTTAACATGAAATACCTTTGGAATGGTCTCTCTTTTAGCCTGTGCTAACCCCTTTACATTGTAGAATCACTGGGCATATAAGCAGAAGAAAACTAATTTACTTCAGTAAACTAATTTACTCCCTTTTACCTTTAAGGAAATATATTTTACATTCTCAAAGGCAAAGGAGGCTGTACTTTCTTTACAGTTGCTCTGAAACTGTGCACAAGTATGGCACTGACCACATACGCTTTATAAATATTATTATTGCTGTGTGGTGAAAAGGCAGGCAAACACAGCTCTCACTTCCAGCATTAAAAACGGGACAATAAAGATAGAGATTCCCCTGGTATTTCTGCAATACCTGCTTCTCTATCCCCAACGATTCAAGCTTTGTCTTGTATTCAGGAAAGTGTAATTGGACAAGCAATGTTACTTCACTCAAATGATAAGACTAGAAAATTAAGGAAATCTTTCCAAATTTGGCAGCTCTATAAGTGAGTAAGCATCAAGTTAGAGAATGAATATCTTGTCCTAGACTGAATGAAACATAAGATTCATACTGAAATATGTCAGCATGCAGACAGACAAGAATTAAGTTCCTTGTTTATTAATATTTTTATCATAGATGGTTTTGCTAATTTTAATCTTTCGCTTGAAACCAATGAGTAGATAATGAGCAGTCCAATGATGTGAAACAGGAAACAGTTTTATTATCTTAATGATGTTTATTATTATCTTAATTGTTTCACTCTGTTCCCTTCCCTTTTACCTTATGCTTTACAGCTCTAGCAGAATGCCATTTCCAAATGCAAGTCCACAGCCTTACAGCTCTGAGTTCTCATCAGAAAAATTGTTTAAAACAGTTAGAACTGGACACTGGACAATATATTGGCAAGGCAGTTAAACACATCCATATATATAATTTGCACTGTAACACGCAACAGGTAGCAGAATATGAAGAAACCATCAGGATGACAGAAAATTCCCATACCCTCCTTTCCTGAATAACTCAAGTTCACACCCTGCCCTATAGTGGCACCAAAACACTCTTAAAAACAAGGTGACTCAGAGGATAAGGGAACTGTGCTTAGACTAAGACTATTCCTCGGGTGATTAAAAAAAAAAAAGTCCATATACTAAATCTCCCATTGGCCGCTTTAAAACACAGTTTTAAGAGAGAGAGAAGAAGATGTATGAGAGCACCCAAACAGTTTTCTTCACTGTCATGCATGGAAGCACCAACACATCTCTAGTTCACCAGATGGGCAAAAAAGCTTCACCTGAATGGTAGGAATCAATCACGAAACAGCAGCTTTGCTGAGAAACTGTGCAGAAAAGACAGTGCTGTGAGCTCCTGAGCTCACCTGGCTTTAACATCTTTAACCCCACAGCAAGCAGGGAGCATGCCATGGTACAAACACCTTGTTTCTAATCAACACTATTATCTGTAGGACTCTTGCTTGGAGTCATGGAGCAAAACAGCATTTATCTGGCACAGGAGACTAGAGTCCAGGACCTAAAGTGAAGCAAGCACCACACTAAATTGATAAAGTAAATGCACCTCAGTGATTTCACTGAAAGTTTAATATGTACCTATGCAAAAAGTATGCTTTTCCTACCAGACACATCATCTTTCTCTCTCTCTCTCTCTCTCTCTGAGAGAAAAAAATCCCAAACTATGATATTACTCACTTGTGTAATTGATATCCTTCAAGTTATCTCTTTGTTAATAAGAGACGACAAGCTCCAGCATGAACCGAATTTAAAAAAAAATCAGCACAGATGCAACATGAGTTAGAATAAAATAGCAGTCATTCTTTCATAGCTGAGTTGCAGCTGAGATGTGTCCATACTAGCTACAAGTTGGAGTTAAATCCTACTTACTTCACACAAAATCAAGACTAACTGACATAACTAAGATCATAATCTGGACAAAGTTTTTGAAGACATTCCTGAAAGGAACCAGTCTAAGTATTACCACCCTTGGATACAATTTACACAGCAAACTTCAGACATGTTCACAGGAGGAACACATTAGTCCTAGCAGAAAAGTATTGAATTTAACTTCAGTCTTGAGAGCAATACTATCACAGCAATACAGGACTATAGAAAAGCAGGGGAAAAAAAAAGTCATTCCTGAGCTTAAGCAACTATATATTTTGCTGAAATTTAGCACATCTAAGATAATAATGCTATATGAAACAATGTTGGAAATTGTTTGGAGACGAAACCATGACTTCCTCTCATCATTTTCTTGAACAATTCTCAATATTGAAGCTTGGAACAGTTGCAGAGTGCTCAGCAAGGTATGAGCTGGAGTAAAAGCCTAAGTTCTGTTGATCTGTATTCAAATCTGTGCATTACATTGCAAATAGTCCCTGCAGGGCCCAGCCACAGATGTTTGGTTTGGCTACTTCTGAAAAGTTTTAAGTGAAAGTATTTTGGTAAAATGAAGTGCAATACAATAGAAATACAGGTATTAAAATATCAGTCACAAAGACAGCAACCAGTGAATGGCCATGACATAACAATAGATAACATTGCAAAACGTTGAATAGATTCCCCCTCCTCTTCTACTGGCTTCTTTGCCTGTTTCTGCCAATACAAGGGTCAGATTATTTTCCTACAAACAGGAGTGAATGAGAGGTGGAAATGAACTTCCATATTGGATCAGAATAAATCATTCAGTTCACGTTTCTGTCTTTGATGGGAGTAAAAAGTGGGAAGAGAATGAGAAATATACCCTGTGTGCATTGACTAATCCTTATGAGTTATTCTTCCCACTGGGTGGGTCAGAAACTTTCTGACCCCATCCCCGTCCCCATCCCTAATCCCATTCCTATCCCTGCCCCCACCAGAATTCCAGCCTACAACGTCTAACACACAGAATCTATCTTTATTTTGTCTAATCTCTCTTCAAATGCATTTCTCCACAACAGCTGTAGGAAGGTACCATGGCAATATTTCCCTTTGCTTGAGCATTCCCTCCACTCTTGTCAGTGAGTTTATAGGGTTACATAGCACTAATAAGTGTCTTGAGATAGTATTTCCACTTCGATGGAAAAGAGAGTTACAAAGTAAATAAAGGGAGGACTCATATCCACAGAATTAAACCATGCTGCAGGTGCTCTATGTAAGCAAGCTCAGTTGACTTGGATGTAAGGAGTGAATGGATGGATGGAGATCAGCATCTCCAGATGGTTCATGTCATCCTCAGATAAGTGGAATGAACTGCCCTCTGGAGGTACTGCCTTGCTCCACTAGGTAAAAAGAAAGCTTAGACATTTTGCTTCTAGCTGGATCAAGTTAGGTTAAATGAACTCCAATAGGAAAGACTTGCTGGAATCACCCAGGAGAGCTATAGCAGAGTGAGGAATTAAGCTTAGATTCTCATGGCCAACTCCTCACCTTTTTGGTTATACATGCTCTGTCAGATCATTTAAAAGTTATCAGCATCTTCACCACCCCTCTTTTTCTAGATAATTTTGAACATCTACTTTTCATTAGAACAGCCATACCAAATGAAGTTTGTTGACAGTGCAAATAGGTTTTACTGCACTGTGGATAATCATAAAATCTCCTTAGTGAGCAAAAACTGCTGTAATCTCATAATGCATTCAGGATGCCAACTCCTGTACTTACCGCTACGCCCGTCTTAAATAGGAGGTAATGGACCGTCTGTGTCACATCTGCAGCATGCATTAGGTTGTGATAAGGATTTTTGTGTTTGCTGTAACCAACCTCCAGAGCTTCCACAAAGGAGACCAGGGCAGAAATAGGGATCTAAGAAAAGCAGCATAAAGTTAAAAATGAAATAATTAATTGCTAGCACTTGGAGGGGCAGAAATCCTCCAAATATTAGAGACCCTAATGAGTTTATATTTCACAAATAAAAAACACTCTAAAACACCATAAAGAGACCCTCAAGAGATGGAGTGAATCAAGTTTACTTGCTCAAACTGGCTTTCCCATCCATAATTATGTTATGGGCAAATCATTCCCACATATAAACACACATAAGTCAGTACATTACTAAATGCTGGCTGGCAGACACATGCAGTAACAGAAAAGTAACAGCCAGCACTTGACTGATTGCCCCTGGAGAAATATTCTAAGTCACAAGTTCCCCTTACAACCCACTGATATATATCACTAGTTTATTACTCACATTACAGATTTTTTTAATGAAACACACCATAGAGCAGGTCTGAGATACTCTGTTAAGAGAAGCATCATTTATCAGACCTCTGGCTATTCACTGTCAAATCCAACCTACACACATTTTATGAGCTTGCCACGTTTTCTCCACTGTGCACACCGGAAAAAATGAATTTCGAGGGATTAGACTATGTAGGTGGTGTCAGCAGCATACAGATGCAGCCAGGAACATGTGTTGTCCAATGCTTATTTCATCTGCTTACACTGCAAATATCATAAACTTTCATATTCTAAAGCTAGTGTGGCCCTATTTTACTCTCGGCTGCATCATGGGAGGATGTAGTTCTGACCAGCTATCAACTTCAGAGGTTTCTCATCAGCCCAGGCAGTTTCTGAAGATGCAGGGGCACTGCATTTGTGAACTCTTCCTAGCCAAAATGCATGGCAAACCCCAGAGAGGGTGGAGACAAAGGAAAACACCTTCTAAGAACAATGTGTTTGCAATGCAAAGTTAAATCTGTTTGAAGCTGGAGTAAAAGATGCAAAGCAATGGTCTTTAGAAGCTTCTGTGTCAAGTCAAACCCTTTTTTTTTTTTTTGGATGTGTATGCATGCACATTGGAGATGTCTACAGATCTCCAGACAAGGACACCACCATTCCCACAGGATCAAGTTTAATATTTCCCACTGACTTGAATGGGAAAGTCTGTTTGGAGTCTATCTTTCTTCACGGTGTCCCTTTGCAATTAATAATATTTAGTTATTTTTTACTGCAAATAAGATTATTTTAACACTTAAGAGGAAACTACAGTGAGCAAAAAGTCCTCAAATACAGTTCAAATTACATCCTGAATGGAACAAAGCAGAATGAGATTGTAGTTTAATAAAATCTGAGGTGGAGGAAGAGACGCATTTTATAACTACTGACCTTGAAACGGTTGATCAGATCATAACGCGTGAGAAGTTCATAGAAAATGAATTTCAGTGCATGATCCCCACTGGCATCATTTAGTGCAAATACATCAAAGGACCACTTGTCTACATTCTGCAAGAGGTGGGGAGAAAAGAGGGTTAATAGGGTCATCCCTTTTAAAATCATAGAATAATTTCTGTCTCTTCCGTCTTTTATAAATGGAGCAGCATCATTCGATGGGCAATGAGGGAAAGAATCTAAGCGTATAGCAGCTTTATTTTAACTAATTCTATTCCTTTTAACCAATGCAGAGCATATTTTACTCTTCAGTATTCTATAACTGGAGTTTAAGAAGCTTTAATTCTGAAGACTTCTATTTCATCTGTTTGCTTATTCTAACAACACCTGAATTTAATCAGAAAAGGCTAAATCCAAAAAGGTGTGAACCATGGTTTGGTTTAGTTCTTGAAACACTGAGAAGGCTCCACAGTGGCCGAACGTATCCTTCTCTGCCCCTTTACCCCCAGGTGCTACGTCTCAGAAAAGATTATTCATACTGAAGGAAACCAGAATAATGAAGATAGACTTTTTAATAATATCAAAGCCTCTTGATTTTGATGTCTCATAAAAATTCTTACAATCTTGTATCACGAGTAAAGCACTCCAATGCCTCATCCACACTGAAAATGGAAGAAGATGATAGTTCCTTTGCAGTAAAAATACACAGACACCTTTGCTCATATTTTCACCACTCGTAACTCTGTTGTCCAAAGCAATAAATAACTAGAAGGACTGTCTTGCTATATCCAAAGAATAACCTAGTTCCTTCTCGTTTTAATATTAATTCTAAATTGTCCTTATTGCAGCTACAACTGACCAAAAATAGAATGTACCAAATTATTTTTTTTTTTAGCTAAGTAATTTCTCTGGGGCTTTCAGAAAACTAGAGCAGGAGAAAAATCCCAATAATGTTACATAAAGTGCTAACGTTCACATGAAAAATAACTTTTATTAATAATTTTTATAAAACAAATCCAGCTGGGAGAGTTTCACTCAGCTGTAAATGATATACTAGTGTTGGGGGTGGTCAGTCAAGAGATGAGGGAGGAAAAGTTTAACTCGCAGCTCATACAAAGCTATTTGCAAAAGGTAAAGTTCAGGCTCAGCTCTTAGGGAAGGCTATGGGAATGGGCAGTGCTCATTATCTAGCCAGATAAGATATTGAGCTCCTTGAACTCAGAATAGGATGTTCCTGAAATTCCACGAACCTTTCTCTTCTCCTCCTACCCCCGCCAAAAAAAAAAAAAAAAAAAAAAGAAAAGGAAAACAAGGAGCACCCGCAAAAA